CTTAGGGAATTTGGAAATCGTGGTATTTAAGAAGGGCAAGAAGATGATCTCGCAGAACAGAACATTACAAGTGGTAATGGAAACTTGGACGAAGCATATGACAAAGGCGGTCTTGAGATGTCCCAAGAAAGCGCACTACCACAGGAGACTGAGCGCGAATATACTCCATCTACACATGTTCGCAGAAGCTCGGAAAAATAGAGTGTGGAAAAGCAGAGTGGTGAAAAACTGAGTACAGTCTTTGTTAGAAGAAACCCTGAAAAACAGAGCATCGAGAAACAGAGCGTAGCGCCAGCACCCGTTTTGAGACATACAGAACAAGAGAGTAATTTGCCATCTTATATGGAGGACTATGTACTTCTTGCTGAAGAGGAAGGAGAGATGTTATTGCTGAGCTTAAATAACGAACCAAGGAACTTTCATGAAACAAAAATATCAAAAGAATGGACGCTGGCATGCGAAGCGGAGATATATTCTATCGAAAAGAATCACACATGGAACCTTGTTGATTTGCCAGAAGGAATTAAACCGATTGCCTTGAAGTGGGTATTCAAGCTTAAGCGAAATTCGGATGGTAGTATCAACAAGTACAAAGCGCGACTGGTTGCTAAAGGATACATACAATAATACATAGTTGATTTCGAGGAAGTTTTCGCTCCAGTAGCTCGAATCTAGATGATACGACTTTTGATCAATCTTACAGCATCCAACGGTTGGGAGATTCATCATCTTGATGTAAAAACATCATTTCTACATGGCGAACTGATGGAAACTGTGGAAGCCCGACCCGGCTAACTAAACCGCAATCGTGCTTTCACTACATCCTAACAGTTCGATTCTATACTTAAGCAAATTTTTAAAATTTTCTTTGCATTTAACCAATACACAGCAAATTCAAATAACTCATTTCATTCTATTAAACTTTCATAAAAACACTTAACAAGATTCGGGGTTCTCATAAAGCAAAGCATAAGGTTCACTAACGATTACATCATATCATCTAGCAACCTAAAACGGTCAAACACCAAAGCCATAAGACCAAAACACAAGTCTTAAACATAAAAGCACCCAATCCCCAATCCATCCATGTTCATCACTGCCGCCGGTCTCGCTCCACTTACTGGTTAGATCCTGCACACTCAAACAAGAGAGGCATAAGTATTGTCATAAATACTTAGTGAGTACGGTCATCCCCTAACACCTTGGCCAGTACCATTCACGCATTCATACTATCGGATTCAACATCCCACACAATCAATTCGCAATAGACATAACATATATAAAACGACCATGATCATCTAACCTAACCGCCCAAGATCAATTCCTTTTTAAGACCCATGTCTACTTTCGCGAGAATCCCACATCCCCTAAGCTAGTACATGATCCGGATTACCCTGAGGTTAGCTAAACATCATCTATGCCACGGTAAACATCTCACAATAACATAGTATAGAATCGTTTAACACACGCTAATAACCAAAATGCAAATCACACAATCAAACATGCAAAACATCAAACCCTAGCAATCTAACGATCCTAAATACTAACCACATTCACACACTCACCTTAGACAAGGTTGAAAACAGATTGGTCAGAAGAAATCCCGATTAAACTCGCGTGGAAACGAAGATATCCGATCACCCTAGGATTCTCTCGGCTCTCGGTACTATCCGATCCCTCTCTCCTTGGCTATCTCTCGATCTGTTCACCTTTCTTCGAGCCAAACTCTGTTTCCCTCAGAACCCCCACAAAACACGTCTATTAGCTCGAGGTTATCCGATGGAAACTCGACACAAAGGGAGATATCCGATCGCTTACCAGTTTATCTCGGCAATGGTTAGATTTATACGGCATCCGCTCAATCTCTCTCGGCTATCCTCGGGATAAACTCACTTTTCTAGGGTTTTCTCTCGACTAATCTCTCTCTTTGCTTTATTTCTCTCAAATAAACGCAACACCCCCGAGACAAGTCTCAAAAACCCCTTATATACTCGCAAAACCCTAGGTAACTCAGACTAAACCGACATTTTCTGGTTCCAGTAGGATTTATCCTGATCCGATTATATTCTCTTGGCTATAACCCGTACCAACTCTACCATCTGCTTGATAAACCGCGTTTTAGCCGACCTAACACGCTTGGCCCACGGCCCAGCCCAGCCTCCCTCGGCTATTTCCTTTTCTCTCGGATAAACCGCCATTATCCGAGTTATTTACATTCTCTCCGGCTATTTTCCATTTTTCACCTGGATAACTTACACTCCCTCGGCTAATTTCCATTTTCCCTCGGAGACTTTCCTTTTTCTCTGGACACAGTCCACTGTCACTTGGACTAACCTCATTTTTTCACGGACTGGACCATTTTCTCTCGGATATGGTCCATCCGGCTCGGCTATCCCAGCCATCCATCGACTATTCCCAGTCATCACACGACCATAGTCTGAATCTCCCAGTTCCCAGCCAATATCCGACCCTTGGCTCGATCATCCCTCAGACAATGTCATGTCCGCCTCGATCATTTCTAATTTCCTCAGATACGGATGCTAAAGAAATTGTTTATGTTCTGCAACCAGAAGGCTTTGAGAAAAAGGGGCAAGAAAACAAGGTTTATAAACTCAACAAGGCGTTGTATGGGTTAAGACAGGCGCCGAAGGCATGGAATAACAAACTGAATCAAATTCTCATGGGACTTCAGTTTAAAAAGTGTTCCAAAGGGCCATCAGTTTATCGAAAGGAAGTAAGTGAGAATCTCCTTGTCGTGGCAGTCTATGTAGACGACCTATTTGTGACAGGAACAAGCTTACACATCACTGATAAATTCAAACAAGAGATGGCTTCCAAGTTTGAAATGAGTAATCTCGAGAAGCTAACTTATTATCTCAGAATTGAAGTATGCCAGCACAAAGAAGGGATAAAGCTAAGTCAGAAACGTTATGCACAAAAGATCTTAGAAGAAGCAGGAATGAAAGACTGCAATTCATGTTATATTCCAATGGAATTTGGGTTAAAACTAGCCAAGTCTAGAGATGAAAGAGAGATCGATGCAACTTGGTTTAGGAAGAATGTTGGCTGTCTTTGTTATTTACTGCATACAAGACCGGACTTATCTTATTGCGTTGGAGTACTGAGTCAATATATGCAGAGTCCTAGAGAATCTCATGGTGTCGCCATGAAGCAATGTCTGCGGTACTTGAAGGGAACTACTACACTTGGTCTAACGATTGAGAGATCAAATTCGAAAATACCAAAGTTAGTTAGCTATAGCGACAACAGTCATAATGTAGATCTAGACGATGGGAAGAGCACAACAAGACATGTGTTTTACCTTGGTGGGAGTCCAATCACCTGGTGCTTACAGAAACAAGACACCGTGGCTCTGTCTTCTTGCGAGGCTGAGTTTATGGCAGGAACTGAAGCCGCGAGACAAGCTATCTGGCTCCAAGACTTGCTTGGCGAAGTAACTGGTACTTTGTGTGAAAGAGTTATTATTAGAATCGATAACAAATCAGCAATTGCTCTCACAAAGAACCCGGTGTTCCATGGTCGAAGCAAACATATTCACACCGATACCATTTCATCAGAGAATGTGTTGAGAATGGACAAGTCAAAGTTGAGCACATTCCCGAGAATAAGCAAAAGGCGGCCATCTTGACAAAAGCACTTGGAAGGATCAAATTCAACGAAATGAGGGACCTCATTGGTGTTTAAGACTTAGAGAAAATCGACTTCAAGCTTAAGGGGGAGAATATTAGATTAAGCTTGATGGAAGCTTGAGATATAAGTTATCCTAATCCTAATAAGATTTAGATACCTAATGAAATTAGGATTAGAGAGAATGATTTTGGAGTTATCTGAATGTATTCTCTAATAGGATTATGATTGATGATATCTTATATAAGGAATATCGAGTTATGACATAAACTTGTGAGAGAGATGGAGAGCTTAAGTTTTGAGTTATTTTCTTAAACTAATAAAGAAAGTTATTCTTTATCAATCTTTATTAATTTGTGTTCTTTAGTTTCTGTTACAATTCAACAGTAGGATCCGCAAAGTCAAAACAAGCAATAAGTAATGCGATGTATACAGATGATTACCATAATCGAAAATACATAGTCATTATAATCAAGAATTAATTCTTTTTTTTTATCTTAAAAAATGTCTATAATGTGACAATATAAAACGATTTAGAGTTTTAAGATACAATCCATATTATATAAGATCTCTTCACAACACTTGAAATTACAATTTAATAACTTAAAGGGGTTGAATAGTACTGTTTCACATTTTCACGTTTTAAAAATGTGATTCCACTAGATGCATATCATTCATAATATTAAGCATTAAATGATAAAAAGTGAAAATCAACATGTTATTTTTTAATTTATCTTGCATATTTTAAATTTATAATTAGTTAAAAAAAATATATTCATCTAATATATACTAGCTTCTTAGCGGTTTGAGTTTATTCGATTTTTAGTTTACTCATCTTATTGGTTTCACTAGTTTATTATTTAGCTATTCTGCTATTCAACTATTAAATTGATATACTAATTAAACCCTTTTTTTTTTTTACTTAAACTTTCCATACTTGCTTTTTACGAAAGAATTGCTAGAATATAAACTTTTTGAGTGATGTTTTCTTTGTATAAAACTGTGTTTAGAATGAGAGTAGAAGCTCTTTTTTTTATAGCAAAAAAAATGAGAGTGAGTCTCCTCAAATCATGGCGTGTGTATGTGTACAAAAAAAGGATTTTTTTTTCATCAAACTGAATGTTATATATAAGAAGAGACACTGACGATTTATTTACCCAGAAAACTAAGAAACGAAAAAACCAGAACTTAAAATTAGAAAGAAACAGAGGTAAGACCATCTCCAATGCAAAGAACCTTTCAGAGATTTTTAGTATTATTTTAATTATAAATTTTGCAACTTTTTAAAGTAAAAACCTCTTTAAAAATAATTAAAATTGCAAACCTCCTCCAATGGTATAACCTCAAGTGAGGTTCTTAAGAATAAAAAAATTCTGTATGCTGGATCAACGCTGATTATCAATGTTGCATAGATATCAGAAGAAATCATGTCATGAAAGTACTTTCAAGAGACACTTTCAAGAGACATCAGATTCCCAACACGTCAAGTTTTACAAGCAAGGGATATAGCATAGAAATGAAAACAACAAGTTTTGCATCCGGCATAGGCAATGTCAATTAAAACACAAACCTTATCTAATATTATCTTTATGGTTTCATCAGCCAATTTCATTTCAGATTCTCAGAGAAAGGCGATCAACATTTGCTTAACCTGCAAAAACATCACACACAATCATCATTTCCTCTGCAGGGCTATTTAAGAAAAAGATGCAGAATCAAGAACATCTTTCCGACATGTTGTTGGGCAAAGATCTTTCATGATTAGTATTTAAAGCTTTTAAGTTTCTAACCTAAACAACAAGAGGGCTCTAAAACACAGAACATTATTCTTAATATTGGTCTTTATACATTAAAACAGATGCAGGATATTATTACCTCTTGGCGTTTAATGAAACCTGTACAGTCCATGTCGTAAAGCCTAAACGTAACTCAGAAAAAATTGTAGACAAGAATCAATAAAACTCTTCACAGAACAAATGCTTCCATAAGCAATAGATATGAAACTCTCTTACGTCAACTTACAATCTATTTTGTCTTCTAGAGAAACATTGGGGTGGAAAACATATAGTGATCTGACAAAGTCCCCAAAATGAACGACTCCTTTTCGTTTATCAAACATATCAAATATCTGCAACGAAGCATAACTGTATAGTTTAATAGACATAACATTTTTTCGATTAACCAAGAGTTCTTGGTTCAGATTACTCTTCAAGAGAGAACAACTAACCAATGACGGAACCATAAAATTTCAAGTATAAACGTTGGTGTAAAGTTATCAGCAAACCTGAATGAGATTAAGCATCTTGCGTGTCTGGGAGAAAATTAGAACACGGTGCCCTTCTGGAATCAAATTTTCCTACTTAGCAATGTACAAAGAATGTCAGTCAAACAGACAACCATCAAAATGAATGTCACTAATTGAAACATAGATGTGATCTAACCAGTAGCGACATGATGAATGACAATTTGCAGGAGATGATGTCATTCTTGGTCTGGAAATCATCTGTATCCACATCGTCTGCAATATGCATAGCCAGCCTCTCCACCATGCCTGCTTCTTCTTGTGTTAATATCGATTCCATTCCTTCGAGGACATCCTCAGCAGCCCTCTTACTCAAGAGAAGCGGGTGGTCACATATTTTCTTTAGAATATGTTTCATAACAACAACAAAAATAACTGTAAGTTGCTTAGAAAATTAGCTTAATCAGAGAAACAACTTATCAAATCGAAACACGCTAAACCAAAATTTCAAAAATACATTTACCAAACCAGCGAACTTTGTATATGAATCGGCTTTGGCTCACGATGATGGTTAAGACTACATGCACAAATCATCACAAAAACTTCTAAATTACTAAAGACTTTTATAATCAGAGAAGTAATTTATCAAATCGAAACATATTTTACCAATTTGACAAGAAGAAACCAGCGAACTTTTTATATACGCATCCAATGTAAAGACAATCAAAGATAACAAAGAAGAACATCCTCACGCTTGTTGTAATTCACAAACTGTTGTAAAAAATCGCTAATATGTAGATGAATAAGAAACGGATGTGAAAGGGATTATAAGAAAATACCCACATACCGTGGAGATTATTTGAAATCAGGAAATTTTGTGGATATACAGAGACAAGATGTCGAGAGAAAGGGGAGAGAAAGAGGCGAGAAAGAGAGAGAAAGTCGGGGAAAAAAGTTAAGAAATAGGGAGTGATTTACACATAGACTTTAGAGTTTTATTTTACAACCAAAGGTACTTTCACCTATCAAGTGACTTTCGTTTTTTTTTCAACGGAGTTGAGTTTTAACATTTCCCATAAAACTCTTAATGAATTTGTTTGTGTAAATATACGGCATCACTTCGAAATATTAAGCGGTGGCACGAACCCTGTTGTCGGCCACCGAAATCGTCCTCCGTGTGGTGTTAATCGAATATTGGGGTTGGATTGGTGGCGAGTATAGGAGTTGGCATGTTGTTGCGGAGTTGTCGTTGTATGTGTAATGATCAAGATTGTCGATTTGGCTATGATTGTCAAATGAGTTTACTTGAACCGGACCTTTCAGTAGCATATGGATTTTTATGTTTCAGAACTTCTGATCTGGTGTAATCGTTGTGACGGCAACCGAAACAATTCGAGATATGTGGATTGGATGTTCGGTGTAGAAGGATGTTTGGTCAGTTGGGATGCTTGCTGGGTTTTGGGTAGACTTGCCAGAGCGGCGTTTCAGAGTAAGCATGGTCACAGATCTATAATGTTGCGTTTAATCTGCGTGGAGCTTTTGTTTCGGACTTGTTGTCCATGCGTTGTTGTCCGCGTCGTTTTTGTAAGTTTATTTTTGTGGTTTGGTTGAAGAGGCTTGTGGATGAAATGCAGTGTTCGAGAAATAGTACGGGTGTGTAGTTGTGCACGACATGGGCCAATAATAAATGCAAAGCTATTGGTTGTGGATGGAACACAAAGTGTGGGGTTGCTGTGTATAAAAGGTGGTGGTGGGAATATATAATTTAGGTTAGAGAAGTGGTTAGCTGCTCGGCGGCTATTAAGGGATAACATAAATCCTGAGCCAATGGAGGGGCACTGTTTGGTGATTTCTGGAGATTGAAGATGCTCTGATAGCCAAAAGTTGGAGTTTGTGATAGACACGGAGTATATGTCGATGATGGTTGCGTTCAGAGAGGGGATGGGTCTCGATGAGTTGAAAGAGAATGTGCTGACAGAGTTTTTTGGTAACATGGGATTTGGGAGGAGTTTTTCTCTGAGTTACTGGCCACTGAACAGCTCTGAGCTGGCGACAGGGATAACGACGCCTCCAGTGATGGTTAACAGCACTGGCGCCATAGTGTATTTCTGCAAACATTTCCGCGTAAAAGAAAGTCTTAATTTGGTTGTTAGCCTTGGTATGGATGGTGAGGCGGGTAGTGGAAGTAAGATTGTAGATGGGGGAGAAGAGTATACTCCTCCCGTGGCGAGGGGGAAACGCAAATGTGTATTCGAGGAGTCCCGAACTCATTTGAAAGATGTGCCAAGTTCCTCTGTTTTCGGTGGATACTGGTCCTCCGCTGGGTCTAAGTCCTGCCCATTGGAGGTGGATGATGAAGAGATTTTGAGTCACGTGGAGATGACTGAAGAACGTCTGAGGAGGGAGAGATCTGCGACCGAAGACGGGGACCGTACAATGATGTCTTTGAATATGAGTCCGACGAAAAGGAGCAGAGGATAGATGATGACGCGAACATCCTCCCGATGGAGTACGACAATGAATTCTGGGAGCCTTTAATCGACGATGGGTTTGGAGGTTCTAATGCGGTTGAGTTCATGTGCCCTCCTGTCGAAGAGGTAAACGGCGTAGGGCCGGGTCCTCGGAGGGTTATATTCTACCAGACTAATAGCGCATTCGACCACAGCATGTTGAATGGGGATGGGACGAACAAAGATACCCCTTGGAAGACTGAGGGATGCGACGGAGACGAGGCTAAGGAGCATGATGCGGTAGGTGGTGGGATAGGGGGTTCCCGGTTTGGTGTGGCATCAGAGGGAGGCAAACCCGGCGATGAAAGGGCGGATGATGTTGGTGTAGCAGTAGGTGATGGATATAAATCAGCAAGACGAGGGATAGCAGATGTGGACAGCGTTGGCGGGTACGAAGGTAGTGGACGGATAAGGGTGGATAATAATATTCGTTTTGACGATAGGTTTGGTCTTGGTGGACAAAGAACCGTGGATGGGACTCGGAAACTGGATATGATTGATGACGAGGAATTCGACATTCCACCATTGTTTGATGACACAAAATACGAAAGTGCAGACATACCGGACCTGGATTCGGAAGGCGATGGTGGCATGGTTTACGAGGGCAAGGTTTACGCGAGCAAACGGGACTGCCAGATAGCGTTAGCTATTTACGCTATAAAACAAGTGACAAATTACCGACAGACGACTACGAAAAGGTATTACTTTGTGCTTAGTTGCACGGACGAGAAATGCAACTGGCATATTTTGGCGAGGGAGTTTAAGGACTGCGGGTATTACGAGATAAAAAAAGGCCCATCTAACACACACTTGTGACATTGACACACGAAATGCGGTGAAGAAGAAAGTTTCATCGCGAGTAATTGCGGCTGTGTTTAAGGCAAGATATGGGGATCCTGAAAAAGGTCCAAGAGCGGCGGAACTGCAGCGACTGGTCTTGGAGGATTTGCGGGTGTCAGCTTCGTATATGAAGTGTTATAGGACGATGGGTAAAGCCGTTGATGATGTAAGAGGATCTGACGATGCGTCTTACGGTGGGTTGGCTCTGTACTTGCATATGCTTAAGCTTGCTAACCCAGGTACGGTGGCTGATTTGGAGATAGATATAGATGAATTTGGCGTTGATAGATTCCTATATATGTTCCTGTCGTTTGGGGCGTCTATCACGGGGTTTCGGAGGCTCAGACACTTAATAGTGCTGGACGGCATACATCTGACAGAGAAGTACAAAGGCGTTTTGCTGATAGCTAGTGGACAGGACGCAAATTTTCAGGTTTTTCCCCTAGCGTATTCTGCGGTGGATAATGAGAACAAGGATTCGTGGACATGGTTTCTTCGTAAACTTGAGCGTATCTTGGTGGATAGTTCAACATTGACCATCGTCTCTGATAGGGCTGCTTCTATTTATGTGGCTAAGCGTAGGGTGTACCCCAAGGCGCACCATGCAGCATGTATTGTGCACCTAGCTAGGAACGTGAATTCAAGGTTCAAGAACAAAGGACTCGCGAAGATGGTAGTTAGTGCCGCTTTTGCGTTTCGAGTTGGGGGGGTTCAGGGAGGTTTTCGGCAAATACGAGCCACAAATGGGCAATACGCTAAGTATCTGGAGACAATCGGTATAGCTCATTGGACGAGAGCTCATTTTGCTGGAGACAGGTACAACATCATGACCAGTAACGCCGCTGAGCAGCTTAACAACGCTTTGAGGGAGGGTAGAGCATCATCGATAATAGAGCTGTTGAAGTTCATCCAGGAGATGATGACCCGGTGGTTCAATGCTAAGAGAAAGAAATCGCTTAGGCATCGCGGCGGTGTGCTGCCGGAGGTGGACTAGGTAATGACGGAGAGTCTTAATAACTGTAAGAGCAGTAAAGTTAACGTGGTTACTAATTGGAGCTGTGAGGTGGTAGGGCAATTTGGGAGGAAGCATATGGTTTTCCTTCGAGATAGAAAATGCTCATGTAAGGTGTATGACAAGTTGAAGATTCCTTGTGGATACGCTTTGATGGCTGCGGATATGTTTGGATTGCCTTACAAAACGTTGGTGGGAGATGTTTTTAAACCAAGTACGTGGGCGGAGACGTACATGGGTGTCATACTACCAGCGGAAGAGTCCGAGGATTATGATATTCCTATGGAGGTTAGTGCGGTTGTTATCGCCCCACCGAATACAAAGAGGACGGCAGGAAGGCGTAGGGAGTCCCGTTACCCATCGGTGGGGGAAATACCAGTAAGTGTAGTCAAGTGTTCCTTACTTAGTATTTTGGCGAATGTGTTGGTAATGTTGATTATGTTTGCAGGTGACAAGGGTTAAGAAAGCTAATAAGTGTGGCCATTGTGGACAGTCGGAGCACAATAGGACGAGTTGTTCACAACCAAAATGAATGTGGTGGGCTGCTGATCCAAATGAACGTATTTCGTGTGGATACGTAGTTGACCATGGTGGTTTCCTTTTTTGGGTTAAATGTAGTAACCGGATGTTTGGTGTTTGGTGATGATGTTGCTGGGGCGTGTTTTTTTGTGGTAGCATTGCAGTTAAATATGTAAGAACTGTGCGAAGTGTTTGTGATTGGATCCAAGGATATTTATTGGATTATGTAATTTGATATTAAATGATCTGTTGGGAAGAAAACGATATTGTGTTATATCCAATGGTTTGTTGAGGAGAGACAGTAGAATTTGATTAGTAAGGTGGTGGAGATGTCTTGTACAGGGATATTGGATTGTGTTAATTCTTTGTGGTAGGCAGGTTGCTGTGGTTATCCAATCGTGGTTTGAATTGTATGGATGATTGTGTATTCATGGGTAGCTGATTTAGACGCTTAAGTTTTGACAACCCAGAATGGACAGGCCTTTACTATGAGGAGGGATTTTATTTTGGGCCGAATTGATGGTTTTGGGGGTTCGTGTGGACCTGAGTCAAAATGGGTTTAACCTAACGAGCAAAGCAAGTAAGAGTATATAAATAGGCAATCTCGGGGAACCACTGTTGAGGAGGTGGGGAATTGGCATGATGATTTCCACAGCGCCGAGTTCGGGGTTGGGATCGAGTTCTTTTAGCCGAAAGCAGAGCGAAATAGAGGGACCATTGTGTTACTGTATCAGAGTTACATTGCTAACGAAGTCGTGGACAGATGAGAACCCTGGGAGGATGTACTACTCTTGTAGGAGACATGGATTTAACTGTTGGGCGGACGATGAAAAGCCCCACGGTTGGCAGAAGCAGAGTTTGTTGGAGGCGAGAGAACAGATCCAGAGGCAGGCGGTGGAGATTAAGCAGTTGAAGGCGTCTATCCGGGTTATGACTAAGCAACTCCTACTGAAGCCCGTGTCGAGGGTGGCGATGAGTCTACGGGTGTGTCTGATGTGGAGGTGACAGTGTTAAGTAGTTGCGAGGCGGCCTTGAAAGCGACGAAGGAGTAGGAGGCTATGCTAAAACAATTTCTGTGTATTTCATGGGGGGTTTTTTTCATTTTCTTAGGGATGGTAATGGTGTATGCGAAGAATTGAACTCTGCATGGTTGGGTGGTGATGGATGTGTAGTATATTAATGTTTGGAATTTGTGTGTTGTATGTGGGTTCGTTGGTGGGTGTTGGGGGAGATTTTTTTTGGTCTCTGGCTGTGGATGGTCGGCCGTTTGAGCCGGGGGACGTTTATGTTGATGTATTTTGTATGGCATGTATAAAGGGATGGAATTGTATGGATTGTTTGAATGAATGGTTTGTTATGCAATCTTGGAATGGATGTATATGTATGGATGTTTTGAAAGGCCGCGTTTAATGGATGATCTTGAATGGATTATATTAATGGGTGTATATGTATGGCGTGTATGGCTACGTCGAATAAATGAGGGATGGACGGGGATTGGCGGTTAGTGTCTCGTGGAGGAACTGAATGAGGTGTGTCAAGCAGGGTGGTTGAATGATGGTGTGACGGGCCAGTGACTTGTGGAGTCGTTATCGTTGTTTGTTGTTCGTTTGATTGGGGTTCTTTGTAGAAATGGATGGAATTGTATGGACTGTTTTAATGGATGATTTGTTATGGACCCTTAAAATAGATGCATTTGTATGGTATGTGTGACAGCGTCATTAAAATGTGTGATGGACGAGTATTGGCGGTTATCGTAGTTTGTTGTTCGTTCGGCTGGGATGTTTAATATAAATGGATGGAATTGTATGGATTGTTTTAATGGATGCTTTGTTATGGAACCTTGAAATGAATGCATATGTTTGGATGATTTGTGAGGGCGGGTGCGTTCAACGTTGGTATGAGTTACAAGATGAATGTATAGGATAATATTGTACATTTATCTATAAAAACCAACGTCGGGGAATGTGAAGCAGGAGATGTGAAATACATAGACGGTTGTATACAGATAGTTTTCAGTACATGAGCGGTTAGTGATGGTGGTGAAATCACCATCTACCTTACAAAAAGTGCTTAGATGTTTGTCGGGAATACACAGAGTACCGAATGGGGGAGCTATCGTCAACATCTACCCTACCTAGTGTTACCAAACCAAAAAAAAGATTAGAGTTTTGAAGTTGGGACATTCATCGGATACCCTACACAAAAAGGTGGAGTCACCAGAACAGCTACTGCGGCGGTGGGAAGTAAAGCGGGATAACAACATCTTTGTAAATGTCCATCGCCCATTGCTTACGGAAATCGTCGACCATCTTGTCCGTGAAGCACCACAGTCGCTGATCTGAGATGGTGTTGACATGCAACTCCATGAACTTCGCAGCCACTGGTCCGCAATCTCCGCCCCAGAGGTTGGTGTAGCAGCCCTGCTGGTGCTCCCACTTGAAAGGTTATAGTTTAAATCGCTGGGAAGGTTGGGCTGTGCAGAACTTGCTGATGATGTGCTGAAGCATCTCTGCGATTGGCTGGAGAAGCGCATCGAGATCCCTGTCATTTATGAGTGCTGGATTGGAGTCGAAAACCTGGATGAGTTTTGTTTGGAGATGAATGGCCAAGCCGACCCAGCGCCTGTCTTGTAAGTTCATTGGGGCGTAGATAGTGTGAACGTCAAGTAGCCACGATTTTCCAGGTGCGAGATTGCCGCAGTTGGTCATCAAAACGGTGTAGGCCCTTGTTGATTGCTTTTTGAAACTCCGAGACTTGGCTTCAAGGTGGCTTAGAAGCCTTGGGGAGGCAAAATCAGCTTGCTCTTGGTTGAGGACGTGAGAGTGTTTCTTTCCTAGACTCCACATTAGAACCTCCATATGCTGCAAGGGGGAAAATGTTCATTAGAATACATGAAGGTCAAGTGATGGAAGAGTTTGTAACAGGGGTATGTGATCCGCGAACCTTAGTGTCCACCCATCCTCGGCTTTTGGCTAGTGCAAGAAAGAATTTGTTATCAAAGTCGAAGTTTGTGTTTATGTTGTGTTGGCTGCGAGAAGAGAAACGAAAGTGAATATACTATTGGAGAAGAGAATAATGGGACGGTGGTGGATGCCGGCGTAGCTTACAGTGCGGGGTTGGCGAAAAGAGTTTTCTGGAACAACATCCCTCTGCCTTGTCCACGGGTGAAAAGTACAGTTATGGTCCTCTAGACGGTTGTTTCTTGAACATAGAAGCCAGCTGAATCTCTAGGGGTGAGGGTTTTCAGGTTGTGGTGGTGGGGAGGAGTCACTGAGACATTCCAAGTCAGCTGGATGGAGTGGGGTGCAATGTTGTGAGCTGGCTGTTCTGGTGGGATCGAATCTTGAATGTTCAGGCGGCTTCCGTTGAGAAGGGATTGCCGAGGCGGTGTGCGTAGGTGCTGTGCCATGGAAAGCATTTTTTAGTTGTGAAAACGCCAAATGGCGAATGCAATATCCCTTAGCGGATGGAGAAGGGATAGAATAACTACCTGGAGTAAAGAGCACTCTCCATCGAAGGTTGATTCGGGTTCAGCAGTGAGTGTTTGATGGACGGGACTACGTGGGTCGATTGGCTTTAGCGGAACCTGCACCGGGATGTGGGGTTAAGTTTGCCACTGCACGATCGACAAGTAAACGCATGGCGAAAAGGAGTTTGAAGTATTACCTTGTTTGATGGATCATTCATGAGTTGCTGACCGCCAGATAGTGGAACCTGTGCTAACTCTCCGCGGATGAAAGTTTGTGGATTGTTATGTAGGTTCTGATCTCCGCCAACGGATGGCTGCATTAAGTTGGTAGATAAGACGATGGACGATTTATGGGTTGAGAAGGAGAAGGGAATAAACACATACCCTCTTGTCGGAAGTAGTCTGTCCGTCCGCGGCGAGGTTGACTAAATCTCCTTCGGATTGAGCAGACGTGTCTGTTATGATTCACCTCGAGTTAACCACGAGAACCTGGTCTGGATGTAATAGTACGGGCCCCGGTACGTCATCCGTGTGGGTGCGTTGGAGCATGTGAATAGGCGAGACACAGACATTGACGTAGGGGACAATGGCGAGGGGGTTGTCATCCACAACCGAGTGACCGGGCGGTATAAAGTGTTGTGCAGTAAGTGGGTTGACATCCAGATGGTTGGGATCTTCATTGATAGTCTGCAAAAGGGAAACATTAGCTCTGTAGGGCGCCCATTATGTGAAGGATAGTGCTGACCGTGTATAATTACCTTTGGAGGTGAGCATTCGGGACAAACTTCTTCTACAATGTTTGAGATGATAACATCCGCTTGGTCGGAGGTAACCTGAAAAACGAAATTGTGAGGCGTTGTGGGATCAAAAATTATTAGGGAAGGGGTGGTGTGAGTATATAGTACATACATCGCGTCCGTAGTCTATGGTGCCCTGTTGGTTTAGAAAAGGCGACTACGAAAAATGAGAATAATGGAGAGGGGTGAGAAAAGGAAACGAAGAGAGTGTCCATGTATTGTTATATGGAAACAATAGGGTGAACTTACGAAAGAATTTGTATCCAGGTGACCTTGACCACCATCATCTGACCACAGGTTGCCCGAACCATCTGCCCTTGCCCGTGAACAATGAGGTGGTTAGTTCAGAGACTATGTGTGTGTGACCATTGATATTTAGACTGGTGAGTGGGGGTGCAGTCAATGGCTAACCTCGTGGACGGGGGTGCTGATGTCCGGTTCCGATTTATGGGATGAAGCAGGCTGATCCCAGGGCGCAGTCATCCCTTCGCCGTCTTTTAGGCTTATAACCCGGGGGGGGGGGGGGGGGGGGTGTGGCTGTGGGTCCAGGAGCTGCCGTGGTCACGGTCGGGAGTGGATGTCTTCCTAGCCTCCGGCGTTTTGACATGCTTCTATGTGTGGAGAACTTTCCAAAAGGAGTAGTTCTCTTACCACAAGATTTCTTCTCAAGACGAGATGTACGATCAGATAACTCCTTGTACTGTGCAGACAGCAACTGTACCTGCAACGTCAGCCACTGTGTGTTTCCTTGGCTGTTCGGGAGAGGGGCCGCATCAGCTGGATTGGCTACACGAGGACGTTTCCGAGATGATGTCCTCGTCGGTGCAGCAGATATTTGCGGCCCGGTTTGTGCTGAGCGCTTAACAAGCTTGCGGTTGATAATGTGTTTCTTGTGCAGCGCTGCTGATGCACGGTATTTGTAGACTACGATCGGCAGAGTGTTGTCACCACCAGGCCAATCCGCTTTTGTGAAAATGTGTGATTCCGACAGAAGCTCTTCCATGAACTTGACCTTCCTGTCCACACACTCGTCATCCCATTCGGCCTATCCATCCTCTATGTCTGGGCTAACCACATCTATTGTTGGCTGGACAGCAAGCTGAGGCAAAACATAGAGACGGGCAGGATGAAAATAAAATCAAATAAACCAGAAAATAGATATCTGTGTACAGAGAGATGCATTCTTACCTCGGGATCCCACTCTGCAGCTAGCACTGCTCTGAGAGTTAGTGAGTCGTAAGGCGGGAGGCCAGGCCCTACTAGCTGAGCAATTGTTCGGTCGTCAGAGTTAGCTGCCGGGAGCCTAGCTGATACGGCTGGTATTGCATCCAATGCGAGAAGCTGCAGGGCTAGCGGGAACCCAAGTAGACGATATGAGACTTGCTGCAGGGTGTTGCGGAATAGTACAACAGGGTCGACGACA